GTGCTGTGTACAAGAAATACATCTAACTCAAAAAGAAAATCACAGACTGAAAGTCAAGGGATGGAAAACAATATTCCATGCAACAGGAACCCAGAAAGTAGCTATTCTGTTTGCAAACAATGTGAACTTCAAACCAAAAATAATCAAAAGAAATAAAAGTCACTACCTACTCATTAGAGAAAAAATTCAAGAGGAAAAGATAACAGATGTATAGGCACCAAATATGGGCGTACCCATCTATATAAGGCAAATACTAACAGACATGAAATACCAAGTATGCAATAACACAATGGTAATGAAGGGCCTTGATATCTCATTGTCACAAAGAGATAGGTCAACCAGACAAAAAGAAATAATAGAACTGAGACTTCCAGGAAAATGGTGGAGCGGTGAGCAGCAGAGAAAGAACCTCTCCAAGTTTTGGTGTCCAGACCCTGAAATAAAGCAACATGAGGAAGAGGAGAGAAGTGGGTCCCATGGACACAAGAAGGATCTGAACTGAGACTTGAAGCCAACTAAGAGAGGTAATTCAGGAACTCAGCAAAAATTTTAAAACTAGGGCCAGCAGAACTGCCGGACAGAGAGAAATGGTAAGGAAGCAATGCAGCCCCCCTCCCCTGTGCGCCAATGGAAGTCCTGCTGGCCATCAAGGAAAGCAGCAAAGAAGGACGGCGGCCCCACCCACCACACCCATGTGCCGAAGGAAGTCCCGCCAGCTGCCAAGGAAAAGCTGCAGAGGAGATCGCATCCGCCTTCCCCCATGTACCAGTGGAGGCCTACTGGCCAAGGAAAAGCAGCAAAACAGCTGGGTGGCCTCCTCGTATACAGGCGGAGGCCCTGTTGGCCAGACAGAAACAGCAAGGAAGCCATGCATCCTCCCTGTGTGCAGTGTGGGCTTTACAAGCCAGGAGGAAGCAGCAAGGAAGACGAGCACCTGCCTGTGTGCTGGAAAAGGCCCCTTCGGCCAAGGAGAAACAGCAAGGAAACTGCCTCTGCTTCCCACCCCCGTGGCCTGAAAGCAGCCAGACTGACACATGCTGAGATGATAAAATAACTGAAGTATGGAAGTAACCTGACACTTGACTGACTTGGCAGGCATGGGGCCAGAGGTCTGGGTAACTACTTAGAGGACAACAATGTGTAATATAGTAATGATTGTGGATTTTCTACTGTCCATAGTATTTTGTTTTGTTTCATTTTACTGTTTGTTTTTCTCCTTTTAAAATAAAAATAAATTTGAAATAATAGAACTGAATCATACCTGTGAACACATGGACTTATTAGATGTTTATAGTGTTCCACCCAACATCACAATACACATTCTTTTCAGCTGCATGTGGACGTTCTCTAAAACAAACCATATATTAACCCACAGAACATGCTTAAGTAAATGCAAAGGAACTGAAATTATCCCATATTTATTACCTGACCACAGTGCACTGAAATTGGAAATTAGTGGCAAAAGAAACCAAAAACCACATAAATACATGGAAATTAAATAACACCCTCCTGAACAACCAATGGGTCATAGATGAAATCAAAGAAGAAATTAAACAGCAAATACAGTTAAATGAAAATGCAGACACAACATACCATAACCTGTGGAACACAATGAAAACAATTATAAGAGGGAAATATATAGCAATGATTCTTACATGAGGAAAACAGAACGAGTACAAATACATAACCTAATGCTATACCTCAAGCTTCTAGAAAAACAATAGCAAGTCAAGATCAAAGCTCACAGAAGGAAGGAAATTATAAAGGTCAGAGCAGAAATTAAGCCACTGAGACTAAGGAAACAATATAAAGAATTAATGAATCAAAGAGTTGGTTTTTTTAAAAAATAAACAAAATTGATAAACCCTTATCCAAACTTATCGAGAAAAGGAAAGAGAAAACTCAAAATCATGTATCAAAGAATGAAAAGGGTAAAATTACTACAGATCTTGTGGGAATTCAGGTAATACCTACTTTGAAAATCTTTACTCATATAGGCTGAAAAAACAGAAAAAATGGACAGATTCTTAGAAATGTAAGAATTTTCGAAGCTGAACCAAGCAAATATATAAATTTTGAATAACCCAGTATCAGTTACTGAAAGTGAACACATAATTTAAAAAACTTACCAACAAAGAAAAGTCCAGATCCTGAAGGATTCACAAGTAAACTCTACAAGAAATTAGAGAAGATTTAACACCAATACTCCTCAAATTCTTTAATGAAATTGAAAGAGAAGCAATTCTTCCTAACTCATTCTTACAGGCAAATATTACTATGCTACCTAAACCAAAGAAAAGACCCAATCAAAAGGAGACCTACAGGCCAATCTGCCTAATAAACATAGATGTAAAAATTCTCAATAAAACATTAGCAAACTGAATGAATGCAGCAAATCCTCAAGAAGATTATACACCATGACCAAGTGAGATTCATCTCAGGAATGCAGGAATGGTTCGACACACACAAATCAACAAACATAATACACCATATCAACAAAGCCAAAGACAAAAATCACTTGATCATCTCAATAGACCCAGAAAAAGCTTTTGATAAAGTTCAATACTCATTCATGATTAAAACAAAAAAGAAACCTGCGGACAATTAACATAGACAGTCTCTATCCCAATCTGATAAAAGCCATCTATAACAAACCAACAGCCAACATCATACTAAACAAACAAAAACTGAAAGCTTTCACTCTAAAATCAGGAACAAGACAAGGATCTCCACTATCACCATTCTTATTCTATATAGTTCTGGAAATGTTAGCCAGAGGAATTAGACAAGAGAGAATAATAAAGGGAATAAAGATAGCACAGGAAAAAGTTAAATTATCATTGTTTGCACATGTCATGATACTCTATATAGAAGACCCCAAAAATTCCACCAAAAGACTACCAAAGTTAATAAGCAAATTCAGTAGTATGGCTTGATAAAAAGTCAACATTCAAAAATCAGTAGTAGGGGGCTGGAGGTTTAGCTCAGCGGCATAAGCACCTGCCTTGCAAGCAGGCAGCCGTGAGTTCGATCCCCAATACCGATAAAAAGGAAAAAGAAAAAAAAAAAAACATAGAAAAAAAATCAATAGTATTCTTGTGTACAAACAACAAACTCACTGAGAGAAATTATGGAAATAACACCCTTCACAATAGCATCCAAAAAATGAAATAGTTAGGAATCAATCTAACAAAGGATATAAAAGATCTATATATAGAAAGCTACAGTACTTGAGATTGAAAGGATATCAGAAAATGGAAAGATATATCTTGCTCTGGGATAGGATTAACATTGTGAAAATGGCCATACTCCCAAAAGTGTTACACAAATTTAAGACAATCCCAATCAAAATACCATTAGCATACCTCACAGATCTAGAGAAAACAATCCTAAAATTCATTTGGAAAACAGAAGAAACCTAGAATAGCAAAGGCAATTCTGGGCAACAAAGGCAAGGCAGGAGACATCACAATTCAACTTGAAATTATACTACAAAGCTACTGTGATAAAATCAGCATAGTACTTGCAAAAAATAGACCTGAGGCTCAGGGCAACAGAATAGAAGATGCAGAGCTATGAAGACACTCAGCCACCTTATCTTTAACAAATATGTTCACTGGAAGACAGATCACTTCTTTAATAAATGCTGCTAGAAAAATTGGCTTTCCACATGCCAAAGATCCATGTCTATCACCACGCACTAAACTAAAATCAAAATGGATCAAAGACCTAAATGTTAAAACAGACACACAATTTAAGTAAAAACCTTAAAGACATAGGGGTAGACAAAAAGTTCATGAACAAAACACAAACTGCACCTGAAGTTCTTCAAAGAATCAACAACTGGGATCTCATTAAAAAGTTTTTTGTGCCAACAGAAAAGAAATCACCAACAAAATGAAAAGAAAACCCACGAAATGGGGAAAATTTTAGCCAACCATCCCTCAGACAAAGGACTTATGTCTAGAACATACAAAGAATTGAAAAAAACATCAGGCTCCCAAAGTTTAAAAACCCATTCCAAAAATGGGCATCTGAGATGAATACACAGTTCTCAGATGAAGAAATACAAATGGCAAATAATACATGAAAAAACATTCATCACTGGTCATTCAAGAAATACAAATTAAAACAACACTGTGATACCATCTCACTCCAGAAAGAATGGCTAACATCAAACAATTAACCAATAACAAATGCTGAAGGGGCTGTGGGGGAAAGCAACCCTTCTCCATTGTTGGTAGCAGTGTAGATTGGTACAACCACTGTGAAAATCAATATGGAGATTCCTCAAAAAACGAGGATTAGAGGTTCCATTTGACTCAGCTCTTTTTCTGGGTATTTTCCCAGAAGAACTGAAAACATCGTACCAAGTAATATATGTGTACTCATGTTTATACCTGCATAATTCATAATAGACAGATCTTAGAAACAACTCAAATGCCCATCAACCACAGAATGGATGAAAAAGATGTGGCATTTTGATACAATGGAATATTACTCACCTATAAAGAAGGATTAACTTGAGGCTTTTATAGGTAAATGGATGCAACTAGAGACCATACTCATAAGTGAAATAAATTAGACTCACATGTATAAATATTGTATTGTCTCCTTACTGGAAAAAAAATAAGATCCAAAATGTACAACAGATATCATAAAAATGAAAAGGAAAGTGCTCAAAAGGAAAGAACAACTGGAATAGGGAAAAGGAGAAAAGTAAGAAGGGAAAAGACTGTATGTGTGTGTGTGTGTGTTTGTGTGTGTGTGGCATATACATATGGATGTACACATATATACATGTATGTAAATATGTACAAGATAGATAACTATACTACTAATCTGTGTTCATCAAAAAGAACAGTTATTTTCATTGTCTGATAGTCTGATCATTTTTTTATGCCTAAATCTTATAATCTGAATAATTACTTTCAAGACAACAACATGCAATATATTAACTAGTGTTAATTTCCTATTTTTTTTTAAATTCTGTGTCATGATTATCCTTTTTATTTGTTTATTTTTAAAATAAAAAATAAGGAGGGGAGGAAAAGTTGAAGGGAGGGCAGGAGATGGTACATAATTTGTATCTCTATGATGAATATGATCATTATATACATCTAAAAGGTACCTATATCTGATTCTAAAAATTTATGTACATTTACTAAGAAATCAGAACTGTTCCCCCCAAAATTAAGCCATACCATGAATTATCCCAACTTCCATTTTTCCCATGTGTTACTCATGACAGCCCAACAAATATCTTACAATAAGATCAGTTCACTTCTCTTTACATTTAATGTAAATAAATCAACTCTTACTACCAGCTATTATTTAAGAGATTTCATAGGTTTCACAATCAAATTTTGAAGTAATGTCAAGTAACAAAAACAATAATATATTAAAAACAAAAATATACTGTAGAAAATACAAAAATGTAATTTGTATCTTATTTATCAAATAAAATATATATAGATAGACTATAAAGTTACCACTTTTGCCTTGGAGTTTAAGACTGTTTCATCTTTTTTACGCAAGCTACTTTTCTGATCCTATGCTAAAATCAGCATTCTCTGGATTTTGACTGTATTTAATTGATCATTTACATTTTACACATTTGTTCACTTAAGAACCATATTGGTTTCTTCATGATCACTGAGGCTCTGTGATATAAAACGTCATTGTCTTCATATATTTGAGTAATACCGATCACGGTTTTGAAAGTCTCTATGAGCATATCTTGCGTAGGTCTGGTTATGTGGGATCCTTCCAAAAGGCTCGTGGTCATTGAAACAAGATTCAAACACTTCATCAACAGCCTTCTCGGCTATTTCTTTGCTGACATTCCTAACAGCCAGGATAGAAAGTATGGCTCTGTCTCTCACACAAGTCTAAGGAAAAAGAAAAGTATGTAGCTTTAATTTTATGTGAAAATTTAATCATGAAATATCACTTTATATAATGTCTGAACCACAATTAATTCCCTCTCATTTTATTAATTTCTGTCATTCCAAAAAAGAAAACACAATTAATGAGAAAAATGTAGCTCTCAAATTATAGAACATACTTAGATCAATTTCAAAATACTTAAACATACATAAGACCTCCATTTTCTCATCTTTTCCAATGTATAAACAGGCAGTATTTGTCCCAATTTGCAAAATCACAAAAAAGAGTATGGCTTTTCTATAATTTAATCAAATTTAAAATATACATACTTCACATCAGCATCTCTTTTCTTTAACTTTTGAGTGACCAATGCTTGATAATTTTTCCTTCAAAAAGGTCATTCTCTTCTTTGGATGCAATAGAAAACCACACACAAATTCAAACACAAATTCAAGCCCAACCTGATCCTTATTGAGACTAATTTAGAAATAAAAAATAAAAAATGGCTGGGGATGTAGCTTGGTACAAAAGCCCTGGCTTTAATTCTTAGTACCACAAAAAGATAAATAACCTTTTTCCTGTATGTTCTTTGCATTGCTATTAAAGTTCTAACACTAAAAAAATAATTTAGTTAATATGCATAACCACAGTAGAATTTCTCAATAGTTCAACTTAAATATTTTAAGAAGACTCTATCATTCCAAATCCTGAAGAGTTTTTAACCCACTTATTTCTTCCTAGGTCCAGACTGAAATTTAAAATAAAGGAATTTGATCTTTCCAAAAAGACAAAAAAAAAATCAAAGACTGCTCCTGGTGACCATAATCCTGACGATCACCAATCGTTCTGTGTTCTTGCAGTTTTATTTCCATCTGGCTCAGAATGCTCAAGCTGGAGACACTCACCAGCACTGGAATGTAAACCTAGGTTACATCAAATATTAACTTTAAAAATCAATCCCAGGCATAAAGGAACAAAGAAATATGGAGCCAGAACAGCAAGTGCCAAAACGAAAGTCTCCCTTCCAGGGCACGGGAAGTGGAGCCAGCCAATAATCTGTCTCCTAGAGCCAAATGGCTGGAAAACCAAAGTGTAGACACAATTTAAATTTACTTTTGTCCAGATGTAAAACAGTTTCGTTAGAATAAAAAAATGCAACTGTGGAGTCCTACAGTTGTTATTGTACCTGCTGTTTACGTTTCTTGGGATCAGAAGCAGGGATTCTGCTTTCCAAGACTCTTCCCTCATCTAGTCTACTGCCTCTACCTATTTTCAGTCATACTGCTGGTTCTACTTATTTCCACCCGCTGCTACTCAACAGTAAAAACAGGAAAGAGTTCTCTTTCAAAAACTGTGAGTCCTGGTCACATGCATTTATCACACTGCCTCACTATGAATTCTATGGTGCACTGACAAATCCTCTGCTTCCATCTTCTCTATCTTGAGCCAGATACACAGAAGTTGCTAGAGAAGCAGAACTTTGAGGACAGAGAAGACATGTGGCCAAGACAAGCCAGCGCCATATCACTAAGACGATTTGGTACCAGCTGAAAGTTTACAATCCAGTGAGAGTATTACCCTGAGCAGGCAGCAGGCTTCTCTCCTAATTCCCATTCAGCAAGTTCATAATTTCTCTCCATAGTTTATTGTCTCTCTTCACCTTTACCCTAGAGTTGAGTTACTTTCTCATCTAGAGGACCAAAGGCCCACATGTTATTCCAAGCTTACCCTTTTGGCAGCTGAATGACACGGACCTCCTGACGCTGCTCTACTTCACAAAGGATCCTGGCAAGCTCTGCCCAGCCTTCCCCTAACGTGTGGGCCAGCGCCCGGGTGCTGTGGCACCACTGCTCACATTCATCATCAACTCATGAGCTCTTCGATACCTCTCCCCAGGTCCATCTGCTGTGGATCCTACAGGCTTTCTGGGAGGACAGTCTTACCTTACAGTTTTCTTCTCCATTTATTAAATTTAGTTTAAGAAATTCCTCTCGGTTCAGCTTGTCATAACCAAGTGTGTGCCAATCCAAAGCTTTTCTATCATGTCACACAGCCTTTCACACAGGCACACTGACACACAGCCATGACCTGTACTGCAAGGCAGTCTCTGTTCTGAAAGGAATTATGTTTCCTGTCTCCAGGATACTGAGGTACTTTCCAAACAGAGAAGCAGGACTGTTAGGATAAAAGACACGTTGTGCTTTCACCTCCATTCCTCATCTAGCCCCATCCAAAAGTATCTCAGAGGCAAGATCCTGACATCCATCACTGCTACAATCTCCCAGTCACTCACACAGCTGCCAATAATTACAAAAAACTAAATTCTATCTAATAAGCTTAAATGGTACACATTTTGTATCCTTTTCATATAGGTGATCCTTTCAAATATCAAACACTGAAGTATTTTATTTCTTTCTCATTATTTCCCCTCATAACACTCTTGAGGGAAGGTGATTCCATGTTAGTTTTTACCTGATGGTGCCGTTTTAATCCAAAATGCAACCTGAATATTTCATTTACAAGTGAACAGTCTCCACTGAGGTTCGCAGCTCGAACCTGTCACAAAGATAGAAGGCAAATGAAAAGAAAGTGATGTTCATGCACTATATCCTTACATCAACCAATTTTTTAAAACTGGAAAAGGATATAAAATTAGCACATTTTTCCAAGAGCATAGTATGTAAAGTACTTTCTTTTAAAAAATTTCTAAACTTATTGATAATAAGTGCAGACATCCATGGGCTATGCTGAACAATGCCAAAAACACCTCTACAACAAGAATTACACCATTCTCTAAAAGGAGCTCAAAGAAGACATCAAAAATAAGTAAATAAATAGGGGCTGGGGATTTAGCTCAGCGGCATAAGCACCTGCCTTGTAAGCAGGCAGTTGTGAGTTCAATCCCTGGTACCGATAAAAATGAAAAAAAAAAAAAAAAAAGTAAATAAATAAATAAGAAAGACATTAGAAAATGAGAGATATCCCATGTTCCAGATAAGCAGAACTAAAACAGTCAAAATGGCTACATTTCCAAAACTGACCTATACATTTAATACAATCCAATCAAAATACCTACAGCATTCCTTATAGATCTAAAAAAAAAAAACAGTCCAAATATTCATATCTAATCAGAAGAGACCCAGAATAGCAAAAGCAATTCTGGGTAACAATAACAGAGCAGGAAGCACCACAATCCCTGATTTGAAGTTACTATAAAGTTACAGTGATTTAAAAAAAAAAAAAACTCTACTGCCACAAAAACAGACATGTGTATCAAAGAAACAATAGAGAAAGCACAAACACATTGTTATTTGATCTTTAACAAAGGGTCAAAAACAACACTGGAGGAAAGATAGCCCTCTAATAAACGGTATTGGGAAAATTAAGATATCCACATGCAGAAGATTGAATCTAGATCTATATGCCTTACATGCACTAAACCAAAATGAAAAAGGATCAAAGATATTATATCATATTATATTAAAATAGAAACAATCTGCTCAAAGATAAAATAAGGAAAACTCTTAAAGGTAGAGTCATAGGCAAAGACTTTCTGGACAGAACCCCAATGATACAATAAATAATACTAAGAATCAACAAATAAAGGCTGGGACGTAGCTCAGCAGCACAACACCTGCCTGGCAAGCATAAGATCATGAGTTTGATTCCTGATACCAAAAAAAAAACAGGCAAGAATAAACAAATGGGATTATATCAGATTAAAAAGTTTCTTCACAACAAAGGCCACAACCAACAGAATGAAGAGACAACCTACAGAATGGGAAAAAAAAATTTTTTTGGTACTGGCAATCAAACTCATGACCTTGCGCTTGCCAAGAAGACACTTAATACCGCTGAGCTGAACCCCCAGCACCCAAGGGAAAAAATTCTTGTGAGCTATTCCTCAGATAGAGTACTAATATCTAGAAAACAAAAAGAACTTAAAACCCTAAGGCCCCAAAATAAAAGACCCGATCAAAAAATGAGCAACTAAAATGAACAGATACAGATGCCCAATGAGTACATGGGGAAAAAAAGTGTCCAATATAGCTGTCCATTGGAGAAATCCAAATCAAACGACACTGAGTTACCATCTTACTGCAGAAAGAATGACTATTACCAAAAATTCAAATAACAACAAATGCTCAAGACACTGCAGAGAAAAAGGAAACCTTCTACATTGTTAGGAATATACGCTAGTACCAACACAATGGAGATTCCTCAAAAAACTACAACTAGAAATTCCATTCAACCCAACTCTTCCCCTTCTAGCTATCTTCTGAAGAGAGTTAATACATCATATTACAGTGATACACGCACATCTCAACTCAGAATGGCCAAATTTTAGAAGTAGTCTATATGTCAAGAGCTAAGTGGAAAAGAAGTCCTTGTATTTTACAGAATGGAGTACTACTCCGCCATATAAAGGATCAACTTGAGACATTCATAGGTAAATGGAAACACTGCATGATCATAATGTTCAATGAAATAAAACAGACACACAAGTTTGAATATCACATAGTTTCTCTTATACAAGAAACAAAATATAAATAAAGTGCAAAATAAAAAATAACAGGAAATAGGGAGATCTTTTTCAAATGGGAAGAGGAACAAGCGTTAGAGGGAGGACGAAGGGTTGGAGAGGAAAGGGATAAAAAAAGAATTAAGATGTGAACATAAGACTCCCCCACAAGAAATGTAATCACTATATACTGCAAACATGTACTAATATAAATTTTTTAAAATGTGAAATACAACAAAGATGGGGGAAAGGTCAGTCATCTACCAAAGGGAATTCTCCTTTTTTTTATTGTCTATTGGCACATTTAGACACATAATGATCAGATTCATCATAGGGAAGTTGTACCTGTACTTGATTCTTTCTTTTTCCCCATTCCCCTACCTTCCCTTCAACCCCTTGTGGAGGACCACCGGGAGGACTCTCCTTGAAAGACCATTTGTCTCCACGTTGGCTAAAACTAGCCGTCATTCTGTGTACTGATATGTACGGAGCTGGCTAAGATAATCCTCTACCCCCTCAGGTGGCTTTAAGCATTGCAAATAGGTCTATCCGAGGTGATGATGTGCAGCCTTTGAAGCAATGCACAGGTCCGTGAAGCCTTATCTATAGCTCCCTACTAAGCATGAGAGGCTGCGGTATCTCAAGGCTGAGGGGCCAGGCATCAAAGCTGAGGCACCCAAAAGCACATAACACGTCTCACACTGTGATGCAGATTCCTCCCAACTTAGAGGCTGCTATCTGTACTCTTTCTGCATATCTCTCTCCATAAATCGTAGAGGTACTGTTGTGCCTCCCACCTAGCCCAGCTCACAGCAACATGCACTTCCCTCCATTCACAGTCACTCAACCCACAGCCACTCCCCTCTTCACGAATTAATGAAACCTGGGTTCAGCCCCGGGTTGTGGCCTTTGCTCCAGTTAGTCACTGTCTGACTGGCTCCTCACAACTACAGATACGTACTTGTCTCTTTATTTTTACCATGCGTTGCACTGAAGTGTAAGCTGGAATTTACTTACTGGAATTCCAAAACTTTTTCCTGGGATTACAAATATAATTATTTGTTATGCCCTCTTTTTTATCTCAATCTCCTTTTTATTATCTACTTTTTCATTTTTATCCTTTTAATTAAGGGAAAAATAAATAAAAAATAGCAGGATATACTATAGTAACCCACTTTGATTTCCTATTAACTTGATTTGAAACTCTGTATTGCTCTCACCATCTTTTGACTGATTTTCCTCTATTCTGTTATGCTTGATAGTACCAAGTTTGAAAGTATAGGCAACAACTATGAAGACAGTAAGACTCATTGTGACGCCCATTCTGGTTGACTATTACTTTTTTTTTGACTATTACTTTCTTTTGAAGTCTTCCAATGTCTCCAATGTTTTCGTTTTATTGGCCTTATTCTTTACTGTTTTGTTCAATTTTATTATAACTGATGATATAGGCAATTCTTTGTAAGATAACAAGAGGCATTATGGTAACCATTGTAGACCATCTTGTATTTTGTTTTTACATTATGTATTATGTCCATCCTTTTGATTTGACTGACTCTGTCCTGGTATGTCACATTTGGTTTTACTTTCTTCAAAAAAAAAAAAAAAGTAGTAAGAACTGTGGGAGTAATAAAACCCAAAATGTATAATTGTCATTGTACAAAAGAAAGGAAAAAAAAGTTCTCTAAAAGATATAACTGCATATATATTTAAGTGTATAAGATAGATAACCATATTACTGAGTTTTGTTGGATCACTGAACAAAACTGTTTGCAGTCTCACTGTTTGAAAGTCCCCTCTATATGCTTTAATTTTGTAACTTCAACAACTATTTCTAAGATGACAATATGTAATTAACTAGTGATTTCCTACTGTTTATTTTTTTTGAAATTCTGTATAACTTGTACCTTTTTCTGTTTTTTTTTTTTCTTTTTTCTCCTTAAATAAAATTTAAAAAAAAAAGAAAGAAATCAATAACAAATGCTGGAGGGACTATGGGGAAAAAGGAACCCTTCTCCACTGTTGGTGAGAATGCAGACCGATACAATCACTGTAGAAATCAAGGTGGAGATTCCTCAAAGTACTAGAAGTGGAGGTCCCATTTTGACCCAACTATTCCCCTTCTGGTTATCTTCCCAGAAGAATTAAAAACACCATACCACACTGACATATGTGCACGAATGTTTATAAGCACAATTTGTTTTGTTTGCAATGAAAGCAGTTTATTATTTGTTCACAAACACAGGCACAAAGTGAAAGCATCCTCATGCTTCCACATGCACACAAAGATACATACATGAGTGTGCACATATGTGCAAAATCACAGGACAAACAAAAACTCTCAGAATTCCATTGAGAAACTAATTATCTTAGATTGCACAACCCTGCCTTTTCTAAGACATATAAAAGGCCCCAGCATCTAAAAAATTAAGGAATGAACAGAAATACTCAACCTCGCCAAAGAATTGCCCCATATCATAAAAAGGGTTCAAAACTTATAAAACATCTGAAGGCTTAAAAAACATGTTAAGCATTTTGAACATTAACCATTCTGCACATTCAGAAGCAGCATCCCAAAAAGGCAGTGCTCTAGTGAGGCCTCTTCTTCTGGGCTTTTATGTCAAGAAGATGCACCCCAGATGTCCAATAGGCAGTGAAATGCAGCTGGCTATCCTGAGTCATGGCAAGGGGCTGGGAAGCTGGAGTCCTCCTTTCCAGCGGGAATGGGCTGCGGGGCTGGCGCAGAGGGACGGCTTCAGGAGGGGCCCAAGAAGACTTCCCCAGAGCCACCAGAGCCTCAGCAGCCTCCAGCTTCCCCTCCCACTCTAAGGTATCAGAAACCCAAGCCTGGTCGCAGGCACTGGACACCTGTGATTGCAGTACAAGAGGATCAGGAGTGGCACAGAGCGGGAAGATCAGACTTGGGCATACGCTATGCAGGGAAGAGGGCCCTTGGGGATCCCCAGAAAAAGAAACCATCAGTTGCTTCTCCAGGTTAGCTGGAGTACAGGCCTGAGAAGGAGGCTCTGGGGTC